GAGGGCGAGAAGCTGGAAAGAGCGGTTAGGGGTGCGAGTGAAGCGCAGGAGGACGCTCTCGAAGGCGGCGGTGTGTGTCCAGGGGTAGGACTTCCGCTTCCGCAGCTACTCGTACCTCCGCTCGAAGAGAGACTCACGCTGTCCGCTCGCCCTCTCCAAGGAGAGACTGACACGTGCTTCAGCATGCCTCTTTGATCTCACCTGGAACCAGAATTCCATTCTTCTTTCCTTTATTTATGTTCACGATATGATCGATAGTTAGATATTCTTTCGGATATTTACTGTTGTTGATTTATTTATTATAAATTCGAAATTATTCTTATTATCGTAAGGAATTTTGATTTTTATTAAAATAAAGATTTTGATCGAGCTATTTACGGTAATAATAACCAATTACAAATTTAGATTTTTCCGATCCTCGAAGGAAATTTAAAATTTTGAAAACAGGTCGTTCCAATTCCGTTCTTATCTCGAAAGCTATTTCATCCCAGATAGGGATAATATATACGCGATATTTATCGAGAATAGAACGTTTAATGTAACAGGTAATCTCTTCAGGCTCCCTCCTCAAGGCCACAAAAGGAAAGAAGCGTGGTGAAGGACGTTCGATAATTATCGTGGAGCAGCGGGTGATTGCCGAGCTAACCTGATACCGAGTGGTTAGAAAAAAGTAAGTGCCATCGACGTAGCAATTTCGTATGTATTGGCGAAAACAGTATGACTAAATAGACGAAGAGAAAGCCCTTGAACGTCGCGTAAACAACGTAAGAACGACGCAGCTGCGCGCCAGAAGCTTAAACACAAGCGAAACGCGTGAAACGGCTCGAGGAGGAAGCCAATACGTGGCCCGATTGTTAAATGTTTCCATAACAAGGAAGCGAAAAAAGAAGAATAAAAACACGGCAACCATTCTCACAGCGTTAACTGTATACCCCCCCTTATTAATAATAAACAACTATTCTACGTTTGAAACTCGATAATGCGTAAAAGCGGCAACACGTTACGTTTCTAGAATATTTCCTATCCGATATGAATTCAATATATCATAAAATCGATCGTGTTAATTATATCCCCCTCGATTAGAGGCGTACCGACCAATTAAATCTAATAGGATACCTTCAAGTGTTACGGAGAAGCATGGACGAGGATCGATAACGTTAGCGATACGACAACGCTTATGAATATTCACACGCATGTACTCACTTTTACGAATTCACAGCTGAGTGCAGCTTGCACTCGCGGTCCGGTGCATACGTCAATGCGCGGGAATCATGTTTACACTTGGCGAACAAGTGGCATTGAGTGCATCCAATACGATGTTACACCGCTTACGAGATGAATTCTATTCCCCCGATATTATGTCCCTTCGATTAACAACACATTATCTATTGAACGGTCACTGTCGTTAAATCCTCCTCGATTTCGTCCATTAAGATATTAATTTTCGGATTGATGTACACTGTAGGATACACTCTACGCGAAAAAAAAAACTATCTTCGTCGACGATTCACGATTCACGAAATACGAGTTTATTTTTTTATATTCGCAGTTTTTTTTTTATACCCCGAATTACGAAAAACGATTGCGAAAAATTCGATGCACGAACGAAAGAAAAAAATGTATAAAAAACGCGCTTCGTCCAGCGTTGAAATCACCCGTCGCACCGAATACGCGACCGTTCCACACGCGACGAGAGCTGTGCTACGACTGAAGGGGACGGGACGCGTGTGCCGTTGTGTAAAGTCGGCGTAGTAAACTTACGAGGCGTAGAGGAAAGAAAACGACCTTCCTGCGAGCGTACGAGACTCGTCGACCGTTCTATACTCGCTACGTTTCTCTGTGTGAGTGCGGGGGCGTGAAACTTGGATATCGTATGGTCGTGTGTCCACCCTTCTCTCCCTTTTTTATTTCGATTTCTTTTTTTATTTCTTTTTTCTCTTTTTACCTCGAAGATTGCAATTTTTTAGCAACGCGTGGGTGTTCGTAAGCCAGAAGGATGTCCGGGGTTTAATTCGCTTTTTGCTTTCGTCTCGTTTCGCTGACCCTTCATTGGTTTTCAGGGGTGCATATATTAAAAAATACACAAATCGGCGAGAATAAAGGATATGCGAATTGAGCGGAACGAAGTTTAATGAGGTTTATTTTTTAAAGAAGGAAATATGTGGTTGGTAAATTTTTTTTAAATTTTCGAATTTTTATACGTAATTTTTTTTTAAATATTTATATTTTGTAATTATTTCCTATTAAATATTGTATTTACTCTAATAAATTTTCCTACTATAAAAATTTTTTGGTAATTTTTATCGTGATATTAAAATAAACATTTCAATTTGTAATAAAAAAATATTTTCTATAAATTTATTATAAAATTATACATATAATTATAT